TAGTCATGACTATAGTCTTAATAGTCATGACTATAGTCTTAATAGTCATGATTATAGTCTTAATAGTCATGACTATAGTCTTAATAGTCATGATTATAGTCTTAATTGTCATGACTATGGTCTTAATAGTCATGACTATATAGTCTTTAGATACATACACCAAAGAGAAAAGTTCAGAGAAAATCAGTAAGTTTTGCTTATATACGCCTTTTCCGCATTGTGGTTTGTGACGCCATCTTGCCAAGTGGGGCGAACATGATGGTAAAACTATTGCCTCATCCCAATTGGAATACTTGTCCCTAGGGTCACGGTTGTGTTCACCCCAATTGGCGAGATGGTGTTGCAAGGGCATATTGCTAGTAAATATATGTCAATGTTAAAAGCAGCATTGATAACTATCAGGATTTGGGCATCTATAAATATTGAAGCCTGAAGGGCTTTTCGTAAATGACCGAAAATTTTGAGTGTAAATTATATATACATTTTTAGACCCTACCAGGAGCAGCTTCGAAAAATGCAATAATTATAAGACCCCCTAGCAGGACTCGAACTTGTGGCCCTGCAATTCCGATGCAGTTCTCTAACCAACTGAGTTATGAAGTCCAGTTGCCAAGCATTAACTACCTGTACAAGTCCACCTATAAAATAACTATATAATATATTAAGGTGATGCCAGTGTAAGGTATATTCATTGGAATGCATGGGTAAATATTGCACAACATTTATATATTGATTATACATCCTAATTCAATAATTCATACACTTTCCTAGCAATCACTCATTAATACTTACATTGCATGATCATGATTATTTCAAAATATGACAAATACTTCTCTAAAATATAAGACATCTTAGTCCCCATGCCTCTGTGAGCAAAGAACAAAAAGGCCATCTGCCCTTTCTTCCTCCTCCACACTTCTGACTGATATATCCATGCTCACAAACCTAGCCAATTGAAAACATTGGATAAATTAAACTTGTATATCCTACTCTTACAATTATTATATATCAGTTTGTTTTGGTTAACAAAATGTTAGAGAGTGTTCAATGCCATAAAAGTTACAGTTTTGCTCAATACCTCAAATTCTTCATCACTACCAGCAGTTTCACCCATGAAGAATTTTAGTATTTTATATTTAATATATGTTTTTATATTTAATATACTTAATATATTTTATATAATTATTGATATTACTTTACTATTCATAAATCATGATTATTCTATCATTAATCATTATTCTATCATTTCCCAGGGTGCTGTGCACAAAATGTCAACGATCTCCATTGTGGAGTTATGATACAGCTTGGAATAGCACAAGTTTGCCTTGGCATAACTCTGGCATGTGCTAGGCCCTTAGGTGCATTTACATGGCAGGGTGTTAGCCAGAAAAAAAGTTTTGTTTGTTAAACGTAAATTGGGAAAGTTTTTTTGACCGATCAAAGTCTTTGTGTAGGAATAAATAGTGTTTTTTTCCAACATGTTTCTTCTTAGATGCAAACAACGGTAGCTTGTTTTTGTACATTTCATTTCCGGTGAATGAACACGGATGCACATCGATTACACTTTGTTTTGTACATTTCATTTCAGTGAATACACACCCAATATGAATGAAATGCGATACATTTTGAGAAAATAGTTAATGGGAAAAAGTAAATAAAACGTTCTTTGATATAATAATATAAAATCAAACACAATGCACTTTCCCATCAGAAAAAATGAAAACTTTCCAGTAGACCCAGTTGGGAAAGCCCTTTAGCTACTTCAATTGGTTAGCACCATTTTCCATCCTGACTGACCTGATGTCACTTTCGCAAGATAGAAGAGGTGTTAAATGGCTATGTAACTAACCCAAACCCTACCCCTACTCTACTCTAACCACTAACCCTATCCAAAAAGAAAAATCCAAAAAGAAACGACTTTAGAAAATCGATAGGGCGGTTTGGTGGATGAAAAAAAGTGCTAACCACTTCAATTGGGAAGAGTCCGTCAAACGGACAGTATATGGGCTAGCTAACACCCTGATGGAATGCACCCTGGCCAGATAATTTCTATGCATTATCTGTTTTCTGTGGACAACGAACTTTACATCTTTGGCTTGGTGTTGTACAACAACCATAAAGTATGATCCCCAGTCCTGTTAAAATAATCACAGCAACAATACAGGTCACTATCAATTGAGGAACATCAAGTTCTGCCTTGGGTTCATTTATACCGTTTTGCGAAAACCAAATTTCACTTGAAGTAGTTGTCATGTTATAAAGACACAATACCATTTAAATTCTTGGGATTTTTCAACATTACACAGTCCATTTCCGAAATCATCATGTCCATAATCCATTCAAATCAAACAATCACATTTTATATATGTCATCGTATAAAAAATATTATGTAAAACAAATATATAATTAAGATCACCGATATAGCCAAGTAGTTTCTAAAAGCCACAGGAGTCCAAGTGATACGATTTTAGTTGAAAAGGTTAATTACAGGACTCTCTTCTTCGAACCACATTATGACTAAAGTTCCTTCTTCGTTTTAGGTGTAATCAACAGAAATGAACTTTTTTGAAATGTTGAAATTTTGATGAATTTTTAATAACCGACTGTGTTAACAAATCTTCCAAAATTGTTATGTTTGTTGTTGTTAATGTATGTATGAATTGCATGAAGTATCCGCTCAACCACGTGTTCGTGGGCCAAGTGAGTGCAGGCTCACCGCTCAAATGAAAATTTAGTTTGTCCGAAAAATTTCTTTCAATTTCTCGCTGCTTTTTATCCTATTTTCTCTTCTTTACGGATTAATTGTTGAATAAAAAAGTTGTTTGAATTCAAGGATAAGCCAAGACGTGTGAGCACCAAGTTCTAAAGATGACTTTAACCTCCGCTGGTAAGAAAATATTTTAATAAAAACAGCAGAGTGACAATGCTGTTTAATATACACAGACAACTAGCCAAGTCTCTTCAAATATTTTATAGACCATTTGCCAGATAAGGAATTGTTTTAGTAAAGTTTTCATACATGGTTGTTAAGGTGTTGTGTCATGTTGTGTTGTAATTTTGTCTGCTGACAGAAAACTGCATCAATGGACAATTATACTACTAGCCAATTGTGGGATTTGTGGCATTGCCCATTCCCCCAGGGCCAAAAAAGCTTTGGAATGCCCTTTGGTATCTCGGAGCCCGTTCTTCATACTTGAGAGATTGCCCCGGGAGGGAACATGTGTTCTTTGATTCACAGCATAAAAGGCCCTGGTCAAACGTCACTCTTCATGCACGGAGCCTAATACATTTCGATACGACACTAGAGCAACATTGGGGCAAGTCAAATCAAATGTCCAACATAATATGTCGCTTCCAGTGTAAATCGTGGTTTAACATAAATATATAAAATACATAAAAATAAATTACACGTAAGGCCTGGTTTATACCGCATGCTATGAGTGCACTGATTCAAACCAATTTTTAAATTGGCACGGCCCGGCACGCTAGTAGTATGTATTCTGATTTATATGCAATGTACCTGAGCTAATCAATTTTTAGCCAAGTTGAGATTAAAATAATTGTGCATTAGGTTTGGCACATGAAAAGAGCAACATTTGAATTGCTGTTGCTCCAGATAGTGTGACAAGACCTGTCACTCCAGCATCGCTTGAAATGCCTCGTCACACCTAATCCATTCTGTTGAACTTGACCTAATCAAACATCACTCTTATGTAGCACTTAATATAGCTATTAGTGGCACATGAGTAGAGCAATGTTTGATACCCATTGAGCCTAAGTTTGTAAATATGCATGGATGAATTCATAAACAAAAGTGAGTATTTAGTGATTAAAATTTAACTTGCTACAAGAAATAGTATTTATGACAATATAATTTATTATTTAGTTCATTTTCATTTTATCATTGTATTGTCACTATAAAAACCTTGCACAGTTCAGACGCTGGTTTTGTAAACAAGGAAACATACATGTGTCAAGGGGAACTAATTCCTCGTCTTTATTGGGCTCAACATTTAAAGTGGAAGTCAAGTCTGTAATGTAAACAAATGGTTTGTTTATATTTTGAACTGCTGTATTTTTTAAAATATGATGTGCTGTCTGAATATCTAACACCATTTTGGTTCCCTATGCTTCTAAATGAATATGAAATAGAGTTTATGTTCAGAAAAATTCGAAACATTCAAAATTTGGGCAATGTTCACATTAGAGGTCCTCACATTGTTATGACCAGAACCAATGCGCAGAACGGACTTGACTTCTACTTTAACTAAATAAAAATGTAAAACATATATGCAAGCACTCCTGAGCATTAATAACCTTCACACAAAGATTCTTGAATAACTTGCAATCTCGTTTTTCATGATCTTCATTGTGATGAATCAGACTGTGTTGGAGTGCCTAGGTGCTGGTCATTTTTCATCAGTTCATTGGGGTCTGAAATTAGGCAGAGTCTGAAGTTGTAAAGTGACAGCATTGCCATTCATGCCATCACAATTGCTCCAGGAGGAAATATATTGAATAGTGAGCTTATAGTGTAGTTTGATGGAATGATGGAAGTGCCATGCACAAATTAAAATATGGTACTTTGCAATTCATGCCAACAATTTGCTGTCAGGGGTGATGTGCAACAAATCTTAAGGTATTCAAAAGACAAATATTGGATGATATGAGAATCGAAAAGAAGGAAAATCTCTTGTGAAATTCATCCAACATGATAGTGATGGCTGTTGTAAATTGGTAGCTTAGATCTACAGTAGTATATATGAGATTAGTATATCTTAATATACAGTACTGTATAATTTCATATACATGGTAATAATGTTATAATCATAAAATATATGCTGTACTGTAAGTACAATTGAATAACTGGAAATACAAATGTTAAAACAAAAGAGGAACTTTTTAGTATTTTGGTGAACAAAATGGAATGTATGAATGTGAGGGAAGTTATGTCCTAGGTTGATTTGTGTTAATCAAGGGTAGAACTGTGCCAAGGTGTGTGAGGAAGTGCATAATGTGTGTTAAGCATTGAAGGAACAACAAGACAGTATAAGAGTGAGAAATGGAATTTAGTCCGATTGATAGAGATTGTGAGAGATTGTGATTGTTTGAGTGTAAACGAGAGAGAAAGGTCAAAACAACCAATGACACATATATATATATATATATATATATATATATATATATATATATATATATATATATATATATATATATATATATATATATATATATATATATATATATATATATATATATATATATATATATATATATATATATATATATAACAAGTGTGTACACTTGATTTCAACTATGTGTATTACATGTGTACACTTGATTTCAACTATTTAAACTGTCCATATCCTAATTATAATAATTCGCTTGATTAACTCTATTGTTCAAACAAAGTCTTTTAAATTCAACCCATGTGGTTCAAACGAATTCAGTTTATAAGCCCAAAAACCTTCTCTTTGTGTGGGACATGCAACATTAGTTTTATCAATAATTTTAACTTTCACATCTTGCATACCATTATGACCTTGATAAAAAAAATGAGTATATATATATATATATATATATATATATATATATATATATATATATATATATATATATATATATATATATATATATATATATATACTTTTTGTTTACTCAACTCTTTCCTCATCGCACCCCATGCCATAAATAATGAACGATCCCTCTGAGGCAGAGTAAAATAATAAAGTGGGGCGTGTTGGGGTGAAATGTAAGTTAGTGGCAGGGTGACTAGACACATGGGAAGATAGCCTGGTTAACCCAATGAGCACCTGCGAAAAAAATCGTCACCTTGACAAGAAAAATCGTCAGGTGTTAGACAGAGTAAAATAATAAAGTATGGGTGACTTAATGGTTAAGAGACCTGATATTAATGGTCCTATACCGTGTGCATGTACTGTAAGGTTGCATTGTTTCTGTTTATCGATATACGTAGCTGTGTCTTGAACCAAGTTTTGACTGTCAGATGGCATGACAGCTTGGTTACTTCTGCTTATATATTGCCCAGACAACCTCAGCAGTGTCGTACTTTACGATATAAGGAAGATTGAATGTACAATATGTACTTAGCACCATTGAGACAACATTGCTGTGATATATGCGGTACTGACAAAACAATGTTAAGACAGAACGATGCACACTGCTGTAATTTTCGAGTTAATGTAATAATAAATTTAATGGATTACAAAAGTAAAATTAGATTCGTTTTTATCTAAAACGTTCAACTCTCTTTATATTATAACTTGAACTATAGTTTCCAAATTTTATTTCATTCATCAAGGATATTACAGAAGGTTTAATATTTTATTATTATTTCAGTAACGTTCGGGCAGTTCTACTGCTTCATATTGATTCTTGTTAATGCTGCAAACCCAAAATGCCCAATACGTTGTTGAAGTTGTGAATTATTAAACCATTTGTTTATTTATCAAAGTTTTTTAATCCGTAAGCCTTCATGTGCATTTAATAATATAATGCGAAGTTATACAAATTATAAATATCGCTAATGACTAGTTGCATTCTTACAAGCGTCCCATGGTTTTCTATCAAGTAAAGCTAGAGTGTTGCAATAATCACTTCGAAATCATGGTGTGTAGTGAGTACAGTATCTCAATCAAATGTTTAAAGCATTTTACTGCGTCTGCTTGCGCGCATTATATTCATTGGACGTTGCACTTGGACACATTTACAGACGCAATCGTGACGCACGACATGTCTTATGAGGTTTCTTGATAGTACTGTACTTATATCAATATATAATAATTATGTAGAAATATTGGTAACAAGAAAATGTTTGTGATATTGTCTCTGAATGTGTCCACGCAAGCTGAAGGCACACTCAGACAACATCACAAACATATATCTTCACCTGAGTGCATAACACGAGAATAAAAAAATTCAAGTATCTAAAAATTTATTTTAAAAAAATCATTATATATTTTGTTAAGACCAAAAGACGGTACTAGTTCAGGGTATTAGCTAGCCCATATGCTGTCCGTTTGACGGACTCTTCTCAATTGAAGTAGCTAAGGAGTAAGGGGCTTTCCAAACTGGGTCTACTGGAAGATTTTTATTTTTTCTGATGAGAAAGTGCATTGCGTATGGTTTTATATTATTTATATCAAAGAACGTTTTGTTTACTTTTTCCCATTAACTATTTTCTCAAAATGGGTGTGTATTCACTGAAATGAAATGTACAAAACAAAGTGTAATCGGTGTGAATCCGTGTTCATTCACCGGAAATGAAATATACAAAACGAAGTACCATCATGTGCATTTTTCAGTGTTCATTCACCGGAAATGAAATGTACAAAACCAAGCTACCGTTGTTTGCATCTAAGGAGAAACACGTTGGAAAAAAACACTATTTATTCCTACACAAGGACTTTGATCGGTCAAAAAAACTTTCCCAATTTACGTTTAACGGACAAAACTTTTTTTTCTGGCTAACACCCTGTAGTTAGATAATGTGTTAAGTTAGATTAATATACATGTAAATGTTATGCATATTAGTAGAAATAGTTTTGGTGGGACTTAATTGGATCTTATTTAATTAAGATCTGTTGTCCTTTTCCTTCAATCATTTGTTAATATATGTT